ATTGTTACCCCCTGGCCCTGGCCCTGGTGAATCAAAATCCGAATTATCAGGCTCATTCCCATCATCAGAGTCCAGATTATCATCACCATTGTCATCATTATCCGGAGGTTCCTGGTCGTCATCATTATCATCATGATTCTCGTCATTATTATCATCAAAATTCTCATCATTATCATTCGGATTAGCATCATTATCAGCATCATTATTAAAACCATCATTATCATTATCCAAATTATCATCACCACCATTACCGGAACTATCATCATTATACTCATAGTCTTGCGCCAAAACAACATGGTTGACTCTTGTGTTACGAGTTCTGAAATTTTCTTGAGTTCCTTCCACCATATTCGTATATAAGGGTCTATTACTTGGAGCATAAATCACAGTCATCCCTTGAGATTCAAAGGTCTCCATTCGAGCATGAATTCTCCGAGCAGCCACATAATCTGAGCACTCGCAAATTTCCGTATAATGACCGATACACCCACACTTCTTACAAAACTTAAACACTCCTTCATATCTAAAATAAATCCATATAGGAGCAAATTCACCAGAAACAAAACACCCAGGTATTAAAGGTTTGGAAAGGTCCAGTGGCGTATCCAGGATTTCCGAACTGTGGGTTCGAAATCTTAAAAAAAAAACGATGATCATATATTGATTAAAAATTCAATACATAAATTCAATTTTTTATTACAAATGGATGGATTACACAATAAAAAAAAAAAACTTCTTCTAGTTAATCATCAATTATAATCATAGTAACAAAAGCTCTACAATCTACAATAATACACAAAATACACAATTAATTATCAATTTAAATCACAAGTCCCCAATAAACACAAATTTGACAATATAAACTTCTTCTAATTATCAAATTTCAATTAACAAAACAAGTAAAAATTTATAATTCTAAGTTTCTAACTTCTAACTTTCTACAATTCAATTTCTCAACAATTCAAGAATTCAACAATATATCAAAACCATAAACCAATTTAAAAAATAAAACAAGCAAACCAAGATTAAGAATTAATAGGAGTAGACTAGTAGAGGAATAAGAGATTAAGAGGACTCACAATTGTAGAACTAGAAGAACTTGAAATCTGAACTCAGAAGAGTAGAAGACAGAACAGTCGTGAGTCGTCCCTCGTCCACTCGTCCGTGTCTCCGTCACTTCGTGTGGACGTGAGGTGGTCGCCGGTCAGTGTCTCGGTGTGCGGTGCCGCGGCGGCTAGTGGCTACTGGCTAGGGTCATAGGGTGTCAAGCAAGGTTAGGGTTTTGGTGTTTGGGAATTTGGGGAAAAATGTCTGATGTTTGATTTTTGAAATATGAAATATTGAAATGTGAATGTAAGGAGTAAAAGAAAAAAAAAAAAAAGTACAAAAAAAAGAGGGCAGTAAGAGTCGAACCTAAGACCTAATATATTAAAGGGGCGCGCTACTCTATTATTCTGAGAATTACCAATGCACCAAACTTACCCGTGTGATAATTATTCTCACAAAAATTTCTTTTAAACCTTTTTTTTTAAAAAAAAAAATTAAAATTTATAATTTTTTTCCAAAAAGTCTGTGGGTTCAATGAACCCCCTTGAACCCCCTAGATCCGCCCCTGGGTCCACCATAACCTGGCCACGAAACTCCGGCTCCTCCGACAGCCCATCCCCATCATATTCGAGTGTTTCAACCAACCCTACAAGTTCTAAGGTTTTGACAGCCCACTCCAGATCAAGATACCCTAGAGGAAGGCTGTAAACACGAATCCATAGCCTAGTCATATCGAAATTAACAGAAACAGGAACAGTATAACGATTACACCTACAAACATTGCAAATTCTACCATCCAAAACGAAGGTGTGTTGCTCAAGTAAGGCCTCTACGTCTCAGTGGCGGAGCCAGGATTTTCAACTTGGGGGGACAAAATGCTTAACTTACAAAAAGCTTAACAAAAAAAAAAAACAAAAAAAAAAACTCACACACAAATTGGTTAATACTTAATATTAAAATTTCAAAATACAAATATATACTTAGTCATACAATTCAAAATGATGAAAAAAATTACATAAACATTACATTAAAATTACAAGTTCATTCTTCGAGTCTTCATACTTTGAAATCGATCAATAATCTTTTCGTCGGAAACTCGTAAGAAGACATCCTTCTCAATAAAAGTGACCAAACAATCATTCATAAGTTGATCACCCATGCTATTTCGCAACTTGTTTTTGACACATGTCATTGCAGAAAACACTCTTTCAACACTTGCCGTGGCAACGGGAAGAATCAACATCAACTTGATAAGCAAATGAATTGTCGTTGCCATAATGTTTATTCTTTTTCCCGGATCATGAGGAAGAAGTTCAACATCGTACACCGAATCTTCCTCTAATGGTACATTACTATTACTTGAACCACCCATTTCCATACTATTTTCTTGACTTTGAGGGGAGCTAAATGAAGGTGAGTTATTGGACTCATTTTCATTGAGTTTCGTTCTTTTAAACAAGAATTGTCGAAGATCGGGTTGTTTAGTTGCCTTTGATTTGTTTGAATTTGGTGAATCGTTTGACATTTCCTAATTAAATCGAAAATTATATATCAATTTCCACAAGACCACAATCCACATCATTACATAATAACAAAACCTAAGAGGCTAAGATTTTAAATTTCTAATTCAACTACACATTTCAATAATTTACAATAATTAATAATTTAAATTCACATTTCACAAAAACAACCAAAAACTCTAACAGGGGAAACAATCAAACAAATATAAATCAATAATCATTTATCAATTCAAATTATTCAATAATCAATACCCACAAGGCCACAAATGACAAATTCACAATAAAAATATAAACAATTAAACAATTAAACATTTAAACAAGTAATAAAAATATGAAATTCAGAATTTCAGATTTACTGTAAATTTAAACAATTAAACATTTAAACAACAAAACAAGTAATCAATTATTCAATTAATCATACATTCATTGATTCATACCTCCATTGAAATCCAGATTTACAGCAAATGTGTTATGCTTATGCATATGACGAAGTCACGAAGACACGAAGTCACGAAGGACGAAGGCTCAAGGGCGGCTGTTGAACCTCGTCACTGCTGCGAACTGCCGGCGAACGGTGGACGGCGTCACGGCGAGCCGGCTAGGCGACAGGCGAGGGCGAATCGAAGAGAGAGAAATTGAAAATTGAAAAACTTAGGGTTTGGCTGGCAAATGTCGCAACAGAGCACTGTAATTGCATTTTTTTTTTTAAATTTTTTTTTTTTAATTTTTTTTTTTGAAAATGGGGGGACAAGTGTCCCCACATGTCCCCTTCTAGCTCCGCCCATGCTACGTCTGCCAAGTTTGAGCATGCAAAAATAAAGTAACTACCAGTACGATGAACAACAATATTACCTCGTGTGAGCCATTGAGTGTCGACCATCTGTTGAACAATCGTGCGGCGTGGAGGATTGGACCCAAAGAAACGCCCAATAACAGCTTTGTTCCAATCAATATTAGTAACAAAATTCTCCAAAGGTTGATTTAAATACACCCCCATTCGATACACGGTCCAATGATTGAAATGAGCCATTATAAAGGGGCAACAAAGGACAGTATTAAAGGAGAAGAGTTAAAGAAAGGAACAAGAACAAAGAACTTTGAGAAAATGGAATAAAGAAAGAAAGCTTAATTCGTTGGATTGTAAAAAAACCAAAGTAAATCCTCAAAGAGTAAGAAATACTAAGCTTAATTGCATGCCCTCCACATGTTGTTCAAGGGTAACAAAAAAGTTGAGTAAGCTTAGAACAGTGGGGTAAGTGAAGAACAAGGCCTTGTGCACTACGTAGAAGCTTGAAAAAGAGAAATTTGCAGATTAAAATCCTTAAAAGGATTAAGTGGTTGGTAAAAACGGTTGCTTGGCTCACAATTAATTGTAAACCAAGAAGAAAGGGACACGATTGTTGGAAAAAGGAAGGAATATAGTTAAAGAACTTCAAGAACATAGAAAAACCCTAGAAACCTAGGCACCGACTCAAATTTTTGAGAGAGAAAAATTTTGACCTGCTAGCTTTGTTTGTGTAAAAATGGAACATACATGTTACACACACATATTTGATTCAAAACAACATTAATGTGCGCTTGGTTAATTATTATTTATTGGTGCAACACAAGATCAAAATTATCGATTACAATCTATGATAAATGGAAAATATAAGTGACAAAACACTTTTTTTTTTTTTTTTTTTTTTTTTTTTTAAATTTTAAGTTTACTTAAAATGAGCAACTTATCTCTTTATCTCACTCCCTGTCACTATTAAAATGTTTGCACTTTGCACCAATAAAAAGAGGAAATTTAGAATTTCCATAATTATGGATGTTAACTAACTTAGTTGAAATCTTCAAGACCTGAGATCACATTCCTTTTTACATCACTTTCCTTGCAACTCTCTTTCCTCCAAAGAATTGAAAGAAATAACCATAATTTTCTTTCTTTTTAGGGGTAATTCAAAATTAAATCCTCATTATTTTCCTCTCAAGAATAATTTAATGGAATAGTCCTAATCAATTTAGCCTTGTTAAGTATGCAAAATTGAGAAAATATTAAAGAATGACAACCCAAACATGATGCGTTTGTGAAAGTAAAGATCGAGATTTAAGTCGTTTCCTTTATGTCTTAATTATTCCTTATAACTTTGAAGCAAACTTCATGATTCACTATTTTCTAATATACTTTCTAGTAAAACCATCCTTGAGAGGAAAAGAAAGAGAACATAATTCTGAATCATCCTCAATATTTCTTTCATTTTTTAGTATAAAGGAGCTACAAGGATACGATGTAAAAGGGAAATTTTTTAGTATAAAGGAGTTGACATCCACAATTATAAAAATTTCTACATATGCTTCTTAATCTTGGAAAATTTTGATTAAATAGGAGTTTTATACAAAAGTAACAACATACTCCCTCTTCGTGAGTAAATAGTAACATTAGTAAGATACACTGCGTACCATCTTCGGAAGGATCAATCTAAATAGAATCGTTACAATGTTGTGTTGCCTGAGCAAGTTACCAACATACAAACAGAAAACATAGAAGTTAAGCTTGAACAGAAACAGAATCCTATAGTCAGGTAACATCGTGCTTCTGGTTTTGGCAACGCTCTACATCTACATTGTACAAAAAATAGATAACGTATCGTATTCCCAAAAAAAAAAAAAAAAGAAAACCAAACACAACTTCAAAAATAATTTAACACTAATAATTGGTCTTCCGAAAGATGAATATAAACAGGTTGCATTGCATTGCATAGTACTTTCCCATACATTGAGACTTTCTGGTTAACTATCTACTTAACAGACAATCTATAACCTAAACAATACCATCAGTCTCAGCTTCTGTTGGATCTTACTCTGTCGATATGGCCTATATGTGTATCCAATGTTGAAAGGATCTGCGGCATAGACATGCCACCAGACACTACAATTTCTGCAAGAACAGAACGTAAAGAACACGTCATTAGAGTGACTCATAGATTGAAGTTCAAACATAAAATCATATTGCTTTGAGGATTATGGGACATGATTGTTTAATTTGATACTCGAATAAATTTCAAATGATACTCTGTCCTTAAAATGATAAGCCACAAGTTATTGGGGGTCATGGTCATGTTACTCAGTTAATAATTTTTGATATCTCTCAACATTTTCAAGTATCCTTCATCATTTTTTTAAGTCTCAGCCATACCAATGTAGTTTTTTTATACGATTAACTTGTTATAGGTATCATTAAGGGTGTATATGGGAACTCGGGAAGTTACAAACCTTAATTACAAAATTTTTAAAAATTAGATGGTGTATGGAGTAAGAGTAAATACAAAGTGAAAGGTATTGGAATTCCATTTCACGGCATAACAGAACTAATATAGGTCATTCTGCTAATTCATCCCTATTGCTATGCTACCGTTCACTTCAGCAGATTATCTTCAGAAAAGCTAAGACAGGAAATTATGCAAAAGCACTCACCAATTCCTTCTCGAACTGATAGGTTTGGTCTGATTACATCCCTTGAGTTGACCAGAAAGATATCACCAATGTACAGATGGTTGGTGGGAACATAGACACAGCATAAATCCTCTTCCCCAGAATAATTCTGCCATATAATATACATGAAGTGAAACCATATATCAGCATGAATCATTTGGCAATAATCCAGCACAATTAAAACCATTTACTTTTTCATATAGGATTATAATTACAACAGATGGCATGGCAATTTAACATCAATATGCAGATTAATATTGATTCGTACTCCCTCTGATCCTTTTTGTTCTTCCCAACTTTAACTTATTTTGTCTCACAAAAGAAATTCAGATGGGAAGAACAAAAAGGATTGGAGAGAGTAGTAGTCAAGTACGGAGTATTTATCTTGTCTTCAGAAAAAGAACCAAACAATCTGCTTCAACATCATCCCTATACATTCTTCCCCATCTTCAATCTGATTCTCAATCACTATGCAGTGGAATGTGCTACCGGAAGAAAAAGGGAGTTCTTCCCAAGCATCAATGCCTGGCTCACATCTAGCTATGCTTTGACCCTTAATTCTAAAGTAAGTCCAAGGATGTGACACGTTAAACATATACAGTAGCATGTATGTCATTTAATCATTCATATCCACAAGAAGGCAACTTTACACTAACACATACGTCTCTATCAGTTAACATCACTATCAAACAGGCTCCATCATTCAGATTTCAAAAGGCTTGGTCTTTGGGCACAATCTGTAGAACTCACTCTCTCAAGAAAAAGAGATAAGAATACAAAGAGAACATTGCGAGTGGAAAAGAGAGACATAATTAATGCAACGAGCTCCTTATTTTAACGTGTGTACCTGCAGAGTAACAGATGATGTGATGAACCCAAAAGCATATTCTCCAATTCTCGGATGTCTAATGATGGCAACTTCTTTGAAGGCCTGTGTGTTTTGGTCTGTATAAAGTCAAGAATATTCATCAGTGTGCTTACGGATATAATCATACACAAATGAGCAAGTTATTCACAAACAAAAAAAAAAAAAAGAAAAAAGAAAGGCAGTGTACCTGGTGATATTGCGGAACTAATTTGCTTTGAGGCATTGTAGATGTGACGAACAAAAGGCATCCTCTTAATAAACCACTCACCAAGGCCTAAAACAGATGCTCCCAACCATGAAGACATGAACACACCCACCAAGAATATGAATGCTATTGAAGTTATGAATCCCAGGCCTAGTAAGAAGAAAAAGAAGTAAAACAGAAAGAAAAGTATATTAATATTCGAGTACTTGATCTGACCATGAGTTCCCAAACAACCTTTAAACTCATGAATGACACTGTAATGCTAAGAAGCCAATTGATATCAAACCACAAAATAAAACTGCAGCATCAATCAATCCAGAAGGCATATAGTGATAGCATTATCTTATGATGCAAAGGTAACAAAATCCACCATATAGTAGTGACCAACAAACTTCACTAAATATACCTCCTGGTAATGTACTCATTATACAAGGAATTCTGCAGCCTTTACTCTGAGGCTTCTGAAACAGACTTCCACAAAATCAAATAAAGTTTTTAAAAAGAGAAAGATAAACTAGGAAAAAAAACTAGGGTAAACAAACGATTTGATTATATGTTAAATTCAAATGAAAAATGTATACAGGACCACAGAGGAATTGTGGCAAGTGACTAAACTTGACTTCTGATAGTTATGAAACTATTGTGACGAGGCAACTGTGGCTTTAATCAATAAAACTTACCCATTTTTCAAACATCAGAGGTAGATAGAGGGATATTGTACCATGTAATAAGAAAGCTTTAACGATTAAAGTAAGAAGGAACACAAACCACTGGATCAATACTATCCAAGAAATATACTAGGTAATTTTCTATCATGGATTAGTGGGTAACGTATGTCCGGAAGTTGTGAAATGAGCACTTTGAAGCAGTGGAATAGGCATGTTCATGTAAGTAAATGAGCATTTATACACAATCCAATAAGAATATGCATACGTGCATTGAGAAAGTAAGATTTTGGATCATGTGCTAAGGTATAAACGAAAATGTACCTAGTAGGAAAGAACGAGAGCCATTAGATCAACAGATTCAACACAATCCAAAGAATAGGATTCATCACGAATCAAAGTACATGCGTAGCTAGCGAATGAGCGTTTCAAGAATGAACACATCAAAGTAGTGAAGTAGTCAAATACTCAATGACCACTTTTTTAAGAAAAAAAAAAAAACGTCTTTAATTGAGCAGTGAAAAATCTGGTGGGTTGTTTTGAAATAAAATCTTATTGTGTATGTAATCTGTACATAATTGTTTATCTACTTTATGAATATAAATTAATATACACGTCAGGGGATGTTAAAGGTGTTTCTGAAAGCATTGTAGTGATCAAATGCAGTATTAAATTAATCAAATCACAAAATTTACCACAGATTATTTGGACAGTAGAAATATAGAACTACAGATGGTACCCTATTCATATTCATATATTCAAATTTTATGTCATTATCATTACCTGAAATATACATCATTTCAAGCATATACATGATATGCAAAAACACAGACTTAAGACATCACTTGAGCAGTTGGAGTAGAAACTCATCATGGCAAGAAAGCATAATAGAGGGCAAAGTGAAGGGTAAGGCCCTGTTCTTTCCTCCATTAAAAAATGATATTCAAAAAGTTTTTTCAATAATTAAAAATAAATCTCAATCAATAAGATTAGTAACTTCAAAGAACAAATATAGCAGTGAATCACTTATCATAAACAAAGTCAGCTTAACTCAGTAAAATACAGTTTTAATTTATTTTTTTTAATCAAGCTCAGTATAAATAATAAGGTGATGAGATAAGTGACTAATTACACTAATTAATACCTCCTCCGGTTTTTTTACTTGTCACTGTTTGACTTTTACACTATTCACACACTACACTTTGACTCGCTTTTTTGATTTATAGATAGATAAAGATACGATAAAACATAGTTATGTAGGATCTTGTTTGAATCATCGCGATGTATATTTTACTAATATCCACTTTTTATAATTTTACAATGTTGATAATTAGAGATATTAATCGTGAAAAACATGCGTTGGCAAGCGCGATAATAGAAAGATGTCAACTAAAAAAAACGGAGGAAGTAATAAATAAATCTTGCATTCCACTCCTTAATGCAGAGTCAATCCTTCAGCAAGATAATCATTTGCCAAAGACTCAATTTCAATTTTGCTCCACAAAAAAATAGATTGAATGGGAAACAAAAGCCAGCTGGTTACTATAACTTTGCAGTTCCCATCAATTAAGACAAGGGAGCAGCGCTAAACAAGCATAAAAGCTTACCAAAAATATCAATTCCAAGTTGAGCATAGATAGGAGAGAAAAACCCATCCACAAAATGTATGAACCACCAGGTTACGTAGAAAGTGACAGCTATTGGAAACAGGATGACACTGCAAATCAGAAAATAAGTAATAGCATCAGTACTTGAAGTCTTTACGATGTCAAGAAGAAGGGATCAATACATGTTCAACTAACTAAAAATACATATACTCTAAAGTGATATTTATCCAAGTAAACTAGAATCAAACAGCTGTTTCAGTAACTATCATACCTATTTAAAATTTATAATTAAACAACATAATGTAACAGGTCCTGCTATAGACAAGGCATAGTTTGACAGTCTAGTGCTCAAGTGCATGGCTCATAATTAACAAGAAAAAGAAACCATAATGCACAAACACTTGTCGAATACAGGCAGCATAAGTCCACATATATAATGACATGGGCTTATTTGCTCCAATAATTATATGTTGAAAGCCCAACATAATTTTTTCTCTCGAGATGTTACAACAGTCTACAGAAGCCTCTTATTCAATATTCTTCAGAATTTTCTAGTACAGAACATTCTAGTAACTTAGTAAGTCCTATGTCTCTGTCTCTTCTCTCAGATATCAATCTATGTTAAAGCAGACACTTTTAACTCTCCCAAGGTTTCAGAAGCATGAAGTTCCTGAGTCCTAAACCAATGTATCTGTCTTTTAATATTTGTACAAAGCACCTTCATTTTCAACTCTCAAATCGCACAAGATCAATATAACTCCATTTCTTAACCTTTACAAACTAATAGGAGTGGAATATATATACCAATGACATGGTAAACAGAGCATAATCAAGAATAAAGGCTTGGAAAGTAGCCATGAACCTAAAAGCTATAGGTATCCATCAAGAAATAGAGGTTTTGTCATAAGAATAGTCTTGGTGTTGAGTTATATAATATTAAGTCGGTTATAACTAAAAAAAAAATCTAAAATAAAAGATAGAACAAGGAATAGACTTTGGCAACTTCACTCCAGCAGAGTATACAAGTAGTATTGAGACAAAGCAAAACATAACTTACCATCCAGTCATAAACTTCTTTGAAGCCCAACTTCTGATTATTTTAGAAAAAGTCTGTGGAGTTAAAATACAAACGGTATCAATTATACAAGATCAAAAGAAGATCAGGTGACCATATTGAATCAAACAGAAGGCAACAAAAAGGTAAAATGGTTACATCAGCAGACCAATTCTATTCACCAAGTCCAATAGCTACTTCATTATCATTAAGGGAAGACAGACCTGTGATAAACTTAACCCCAGAAACCAAAACATTCTACTATGAAGTAATTAATAAATTAGTGATATTATCACAATGCAATTAAAGCAGCACCTTCTGTACTAGAGAGTAACTCACTATTTCCTACAGTCACCTTATCCCAAATATTACAACTCAACATGAAACCACCAAATGCTTGTCACTCAAGCTTACAACAATAAACAACTTCCAACACCAAGTACTAGGTCATAGCCATCCTTTTTTTTCTTTTTAAAATATAGACAAAAGTCGTGGTCATCGTTGATCTCCTGGTGTGTATATGTAAGTCTGAGACATGCATTACCATGACTGTGAGGAACCAAAAGACTTTTTCTACTCTCAAAACCCATCAATTACAGACTTACAGTTGTTATACAACAATATTTCTAAGCAAAAACCAAAGTTCTAAATTTGAAACAATTAGGCTTTATTAGAGTTGGGAAAGATGGCTATAAGTGAGCTAGAGTTCATTAATACCAATAACTTAAGCTATTAGATAGAGTCTAGGCACCTTGTAATTACTTTCTATATGTATCCCTTGTGTAATATGTCTTAAACACAGAGACAGGAAACTAAAAAGGAACACCCTTCAACAAAATCATTATCAACTTTGAAAAAAAAAAATATATTCTCTAATGCTCTTCATCCTTTTACTTCCCTTTGCTCTCCAAACATTTCCAATGATATACCTCCATCAAAAGCAATAGCTAACTGTGCTGATTTGGCTTCAGTGATCACTGCCAAAGGAATTGGAGGGATAAAGAGAGTAATCTCCATACCTCTGATGAATGGCAATGGTAGTCAAATAGCGGAAGAAATAAGAATTGGAGTACATTTCCAATATGTAGCTCTTATTTAAATCCAAGAAAGTAAATGGCAAAGCTCAGCTACCAAAGTCACCATGAGGGTTAAGAACAGCTAAACAAAACTATATGATGACGAAATATTGAAACCACCACAGTTCAAGGTGCACACAAATTTGAACTAAGGATTGAGCTAAGCCAATATTTCCCTACGTAATTTACCACTGTACCGCTTTAACAACTGACACTATATGAAGATGAAATTACCACACTTCAAGGTGCACCGAAATTCAAACTCGGGTTTTAACCAATAGGTCCAATACAATACTTCCCCTATATTGTACAACACTAAGTGCCTCTCTAACGAATGACACTCGCGAAAACCATATGCTCATTTAACCAATTGCACTAGCTTCCATGAGTACAAATCAAGATATACCCACTGCAATGAGAGGATAGAAGATCAACAAATCCTTGAGCTATTGAATTCTACTTCAACCCATATAATATCTTATACCAGACCAATAATTCAATATTTCAAGCAATCACACAAAGATAGAAAACTAAAAAAGAACAACCAGATCATAATCTATTCCCAAACATAAAATCCTTCCTATATCACACTATTATGATGATCAAATCCATATATCTAAACATTCCCAAATCAATAAAATTCAGCAGAAATACAACAATAATCAATCTCAAACTTTTAAAAAAGCTTAACCCACTAATTGAAACCTAAAAAAAGCCCAAATATACCAAAATCATCAAGGATAAACAACAAATTGAAAGAACCCCATCAAAATTGAAGAAAAACCCATAAAAATTGAAGAAAAACCCAGATAGATCGGACAAAAAGGAGAGAGAAAGAATGACCTCTCGACCAGTATGGGAAGATGAAACAGAAGGGCTAGGTTTAGCAGAATCATCATGATTGCCGGAAGAATCAGCAACTGGAATGAGGAGTTCCCGATCTCTTTCTCTACTGGAATTACCCATGGTAGATTTGTCATCTCCCATCACTAATTTTGATTTGTGTGCAGAACTCTGCAACTGCCCCCACCTCAATTAAGCTGGAGTTCTTCAAAGAATTGACTCAGTTGCTTTTTTTGATGAGAGAGAAAATTGGGAAAGATGGTGCTTCAAATTAGCAAAGTCAGTTCTTTCCTAATCTTCTTGCCGCTTTTCTTTTTTAAAAAAAACAAATTTATAAAATTTGATTTGTGTCTTGTGTGGCTATGTTGCCTAATCTATATCAAATTATCAATATATGCCTTGTTAACAAAAATTAAACTTCATTCGTTTCTTTTTGTTTGTCATATGAGGTAAAAGTATGATTTATATACACAAATTTTCACATGATGATTTAAGGTTATTTCAGGGGTTATTTGGTCGGTCAAGGGTTACTCGGTCGGTCAAGGGTTACGTATTCAAGGGTTGCTCGATCGAGCAGGGGTTACTCGGTCGGGCAGGGATTACTCTCAAACAGAAAACGCGCTAATTGACTGAATAACTCCAGAATAAGTAACTCTCAATCGACTGAGTAACCCCTAAATAAGTAACCCCTGAATAAGTAACTCTGGCCACACGATGTGGCCAGCCACACAGAAAAAGCATCGTTTATGATAATGTAAGATTTATCTTGATGTATAATTTTAAAAATATAATTTCTTATAATTTTATACAAAATTTTATACTATATAGTCGAATATATTGATGATTAAACATATACACTGAAAACTGTGTAAAAAGACAAATTTAACAAACGAAAAATCAAAGGGAAGTTATGTATCTTTCATATCATATATTCCATCTATAAAACTACAAACCAAGCATGCTTGATGGAGTTGGTGGAGAACTCACCTTGTGACTAGGAGGTCACTAATTTGAGCCCCACCAACCACAAATGCTTGGAAATAGGAGGATTCCCTTACCTCCCCCTTCTACTATCAAGCGGTGACCGATCTTGTGTTTGGAACAAACAAAGCAAGCAATCCAAAATTTTATATATTTATTTATTCACTTTGTATTTGATGCTTTTTAAGAATCCTAATTAAAAGCATCTCCAATGGCAATTTAATTGTCAAATTAGATTTCCATATCACATAAGATTTCAAGCTAATTCCTTTTTATAGCTAGTTTGTGCCTCAATGATTAACTACAAGCTTGTTATTTAAAGGAGCCTCATATTCTTAATTAGTTTTAAAATTTAAATTTATGAATTACCGTTTTCCTGTCTTTAAGAAAAAATTCACAAACAAATTAACTTAAGACAATCTAATTGTATAACTTTTCCTCAAAAAAAATAAAAAAAATCTAATCGTATGATTTAGCTCTAATGGTCAAGCTAGTAGTTAGAGACTTTTGTTGATTGCAAGCAAGTCGTTAGTAATTATTAAGATTTTATGGGTTAGTAATAAGCCCCTTCACCTCATTTTTTAAAAGGAGTAGGAAGTTAATTTTACTTTGTCAATTTGAGCTTTAAGGTTGTAATACTTTGAGGGGACAAATCAGTACAAACTATGTCATTAGAACCTCTAGATACTCACCTAGCTACAATATGAGCTAAGGTGTTGGGTTGTTTGGCAATCGACGAATGACTTTTGGCTGGTTTGCTTGGTTTGTTTAACCAGCTTGAAGTATTAGTTGTATGGATTGATTGTTTAAGTCAGTTGTTTATAAAAGTGTTTGACAACATTAGTTGTGCTATTAGCTATTTATTAGTAGTAAAGTGAACTAACAAGCCAAAACCAATAGAAAAAGCTACTCCTATTGGCAGCCAAAAGCCCACAACCAAACATATTTTTTTTTGGCTATTTGACCAAAGCTATAACCCAAACAAAAAGCCAATTACCAAACACCCTATTATCCGTTCTTTTAGGACGGTAAAAGACATTGGGAGACTTAGCAAATATCCTCATAAATTAAGTGAATTGGAGAAAAACTCACAACCTTTTTGTTCTTGATTGTCCTATTTTTCATCTTCGACAATTTTGTTTTCTTAACGTGTGTTTGAAACACACGTTATAAAAGCTGTTTATACATCATGATAGCTTAATATCGGTTATTATCATCTGGATTTTGAGTAATTTTATTGCGATGAAAATAATAACAACCTTCGAAGAATAATGAAATGAAGATTTAAAAATGGAAATTATGCCTTCCAAACTCCACCTGTTATGACCAAGCAAATAAGAGCAATTATTCAATTGGAATGTGCTGAGTTGTCATGATATACTGACAACTTGAGGAGGCGGCTGTTTTTTTCTAACTCATCACATTTTATTACTGCATTTTTTTTTCCTAGTACTCCCTCCATCTAAATACATAGTTCATGTTTGTATATTTTCACGTTATTTAAGAAATGAGAGGTAAAAGTGGATAGAGTATATAAAAAAAGTTGAAAAGTACCATTACAGATAAAAGTTAGAGAGGAGAAAGTAAATGAAGTGTATAAAAAGATGAAAAGTACAATTATAGAGAAAAGTTAGAGAGATAAAGTGGAAAAAAGTACAAGGTCTTTAAAAAAATCAAGGGTAATTTAGGAAGTACAATAAATAAAGTTAAAAAAATAAGGGTATAATGATCTTTACATACTAACCAAAAATAGAAATAGAAACATCTTAAATCTCCAAAATAGGAAAGCAGAAACTATATTATGAGACGGAAAGAGTATAAAAAATCGTTACTAATTGATGGTATGCACAAGACCACAACCACAATAATGGTCAAGGATCGGAAATAGTTTGCTTTGTTATATTGACTATTAAGTCAAAACATATAGCTCTAATTTTGAATAGTATCAAGTATTCTGGAGCAATATTAGGGGTACATATATTTCAAACTTTGAAAAAATCAACAATCTTATCACCTTAAAAAAACTGCTTATGAGAAAATTGAGATTATATCATATATAACTTATACTGGTAGTAAGTTTGGATAAGTTGTAATAACTCTAATAAGTGATGTTTAAAGTCAATTTTCAACTGTAATACATTTTGATGGCTCAACATTCAAAGTAAACATACTTAAAAAAATGCAAGCAAAATAGTTTTTCTTCATATAATTTTTTTATATAAAAATTAAAACACATAATAACCACATTTCAAGGATATGAAAAGAGCCAAATTCAAAATTGTGGAATAGTAGAGCCAGCCATGCTTTCTCACTCTTTCCTCCCTCTCCCTTCACTGCTATACAGCACTGCCCTACACCCCCCTCCCCCCCCCCCCCCCCTTAATTGACCCATCACGAGGTTGGCATTAGTATTTGTTTTAATGAATTTCCCTTCCAATCGTACTATTATTACTATAGTTCGTTAGAGTGTGACAATCTTTTGATTCAATCAGTTACAGTGGAAAATATAAAATGAACATTTTAATAAGGTAAATCGACTCACTTGCCATCACTCGCTTTTTTTGAGCTTATATCCATTTATTTGAGTACTGAATGAGATTATCATATAATAAAGCTACATGAAAATTGAGAATTTTGTCATATTGGTGTGTAGTAATTCTTTAAACAAAGATTTTCCTCAATTCTAGTTCTTCAGCTACATAGTGGATTTGTGTCCCTCTAATACTTAAATTGGGCTCTTAGCAGTTAACATTACGTTTCACTGTATAGGCCCACATACATTGAACTAGCCAAGGCCCATTAACTAAGTATAGTCCAATTGTTAAAACCACACAAATCAAGAACATCCACCATATTGGGCCTTGGTTTGTCCTCCCTTTGGCCATATCTACCTAGCTCCTATTCCGTACACCAAAGATGTGACAGTGACACTAATAAACCAACCAGTTACTCCATAGTTTTATTCGATTTATTTTGTTTGAACTTATAAAAACTTATTCCATTCTGAATTTGAACATGTCAAATACTTTGTTTTTTTCTAAAACAAATTTTCGTAATTGTAATACAATAATCTCACCAGAATAACAGAATTTCATATGTTTCATGCTTACTAATGTTCAAATCCAACAACTTCATACCAAGAAATGTTTACTATTTTCTCCTGAAATAAGAACATTAAACAAAGTAATGAAGTATAGGAAATCATTCACTAATTATTTAGGTGGGGTAACCTTAATTTCTTCTCCATCTGAAGGAAATTTTTCTGGAATATGTCACCTGTGTTTGGCCTACCACCTGTTGTATCAACAATATGATGCTTATTTACAAATTTCTAGCATATACCTTCTATTAAATTTCATAAATGCTGCAAAATTAAATTTTTTTTTAAAAAAAAAAAAAAGGAAATAAACATGTAGGATGTAGTACTATACTATAGCATAAAATCTGAAAGAACCTCCTGAATCAAATTGCCTAAGATAAACTTATCAACCTCTCCTATAACTTGTTCAACTTCATTTAGAGTAAACATACTCTTCCAACCAACCTCCCATGTTATGCTCTTGAACTCCAAATCTCGATCTAGTATAACATAGAGATCGTCAAAGGGAAACTCATCATTTATCGGCCTTGAATAGAGTCTTAAGCTCTCAATTCCATTGCATACTTCCTCCAACAGCCGATCCAAGGAGAAATAACTTCGTAATTTTGCTGTGAACATGCGCAGAAGAGGCAGGCATGCTTGTAGGAACTGCGAGCTTTTAAGTTCCAAAAGTTCGTTAGCACAATCTATCAGTAACTGAGCACTTTCTGAATCTTGATCATTGTCATCTATCATGCAAGGAACTGACTCAGGATTGACTTGGATACTGAAAAGCTCCTCAACATGGCTCACAAATAATGAGTTGTTTAGAAGCAAAGCTTTTAGCTTCATTCTAGGAGTAAGACACGGTCTCAAGCCCTTGTTATCTGTTGATTCCACGCCATTTTTGAGGCTTTTAGTTCCTTCTTGATTAGTTTCATGATGAACTGCAATGCCGTTTTCATGGGTAGTAATCAAGGTAACTTCATGAAGAGTACTCTGAGTTTCACCAAGTTGATCCACATTACAATATTCGCTAGTAGACACTGATATTTCAGAATAAGAGCTTTGATTGTCATCATAATGTGAAACATTCTTGTCATTTGGAAGACACGAATATAGGTTTGGGGTATCTAACAGCTTAATCTGACTGTCAATATCATAATCTGCAATCAACATATTTAAACAAAACTAAAAAAGGATTTCTCAATAAACACAGATCTTTCATCACCCACAAACTATCACCAAAGTTTTGAAGTAGTACAATTCAAAAAGCAGTAAACTCTGGATCTGTGTGTATAAATTATCACAGAAGAAAAAGTTTTAACAGCATTATTTGTTTAATTTACGAGTGATGATCATATTGTAAAGTAGAGAAAAAAAAAACTCGAGTGTATCAGAAGACAAATTAATACTTTTAGAAAGGAAGGTGTAAGCTAACCTCTGATCTTAATTTGACACCTTTCTTTGTCATTGTTATCACCAGTAAAACTGTTGACTGCAGGGCAAACAGAAGTGCGGTCACCTGCTGAATCAATATCCTCTTTATAGAAGACAGTGCTTTCCTTCTTTTCACCTTTGCAAATCCTCTTTTCTTCCTGCTGCATCATAAGAAACTCACGTTACTCGTATTTGTGACAGGTTATAAACTGAAAGAGACCAATGATTACAGTTTTCAGCTAGGGGGACTCACTTCTAAGGCTGGTTGTCTGTTCTTTTTCCGTTCTGATGTCCTGCGTTTCCTTTGATCTAACATTGAAGTGGAACTAGTGTTCTGCTGATTAGAAGACTGGTTTTTGGAGATAGATTTTCCATCCTTTTGCCTTGTAATCTTTGCTGTGGAAAACCTTTCTTGATCTCGTGAATTCAACTGATCAATCGATCTTGCATCTTTCTTCTCTTCAACTTTCCTTCTAGTTGGAGTCACCTTCTCAACTTCAGTTGGTTTTTTGACTTCCGTTTGCTTTTTCTGAGGCTTTGGCTTCACATTGATAGAACCTTTAAGCTTAGCAGATGCAACTTTCTTTACGGACTTGGCCTTTTCTTCACAATCAACTCCGGCTACTTCATTCTTCTCACTGTAGTTTACAGCTTCATTTCTGACAAATTCTTGAGCAGATCCTCTACTGCATCTTGGTTTCATGTCTCTCTCTCCCCAAAACTTTGTTTTAAAAGGCTCGTCAAGATCTAGACAGGGATAGCGCATAGGTTTCATGACAACAATAGGCGGTCTTTCATCAACCCAACTATTATTCGAGGAGTAATTTTCAGACTCCGAGGAATGAATTGTCAGGCCATCCACAGAACTATTTTTAAGAAGCCCCTTAAATTTTAATCTCTCAAGTATTTCTTCAACACTTCTTTGTTTCAAACCCACCTCTTGAGCACCAAATTGAGGCCTCTTTGCCCTTGGTGAATCAATTTCGTATGTAGGCTTTGCCAAGTTCAGTAATTTCTCCCTCTCAGCGTGTTTCCTAGGACTTGAAGGGAATGATTCTAACCCCATTAGTCTAACAATCAAATTCAAGTCTTTTCCATTTTTCCTCCGAGAAGCGGTTGATGATGAGACAGAAGAATCAGAGGGAACGAAATTACTCGAATAAACCATCGATGATTGAGTACTCGAACTAGTAGAAGGCAACATATCAGGAGAAGCCATAGACATCTTTCTATGATCATAATGCTCCTCAAATATAGGATTTGATATCATATTTTGCCTAAGAAGACTATCTCTAACAACATTCCTCATCTCATCAACCGATTTCCTTGGATATCCATCTACATGCATTGCAGGCCTCGAATGTCCCCTCACCCCACTAACCATTACATCAAACGCTCCTTCATCGAGTTTTTGCTTCTGCTTTCGCGACAATCCCAACATATAACTCGAAGCTTCCTGCAGCTTCCCAAGCATGACTAAGGATTCTTGAAGATCAAGAGCTCCTCTCAACAAATCTTTGGCAACACTATCATTTTGTTTCTTCTTCAATAACTTGTCATAACTACTACCACTACTACTAGACCAAGAATTGATCACATGATTCAACTTCTCAGTTTCTCTAGATACCTCTAGTAGCTGAAAAGATACCGGGTTTTCGAGTTGAGCCCGTGTGATCCCCCTAACTCCCATCTCCTTTTTATCTCTCTCTTCCTTAATAACAGAATCAACAACTACTACAGATGTGTTTTGATTTCCTTGCTTTCTGTCAGCTTCAACCTTATTACTACTATCTTGCTCCTTTTTTTGAGAATTATTATTGATCTTTGATTTTCTAATCACCCCACATTCAACACCTTTTGGATCATCACATGTTACAAATGATCTATAACTAATTGATCTTCTTTTGTCTTGAGGCATATTCTTCAACCCCACCAACCAATTTTTCAAACCAAAAATATACAAAATTAAGTGAGTAAATTAAATTTCAAAAACCAAAATTCACAAAAATGGAAAAAGAAAAAAGAAAGCCTTACATTTGCAACTTATAATTGAACCCAATTATTCAAAGATTGTCAACATTGATTACACCATTTTAATACTCCTTCACCAACTGTCAACTGAAAAGAAACAGTGATTACCCTCTTAGATGAAAAATGTGCAGCAAAGATTCAATTTAAAATCATAACTTACTACAAAAAACAGAGAAAATTCAGGGAAAATGGGATCTTTAATTTTATTTTTTATTTTTCTTTAAGATAAGAAGCTAAGAAAGGAACTTGTAAGAACTAGCAAGTACTAGAGTAGTAGCTACCTCCACTTGAGTGAGTATTTTCTTTCTTTGCTCTTCACTCTCAATTCTCAACTGCTATCTCTGCATTTTGTTGGGAGAGCTTTCCTCCCAATAAGGGCCCGGCCCAGCTCGAATTTGAATTAGTCGGAATCTAGGAGGCTCTGGATTAGCGAGTGAGGTGCCCTCAAAACTTGCTTTATTTACATTGATCAAACCCAATTCTCTCCTAAATTTTTAGCATCTACCCAAAACCCAAAATTTAGAAATGATGATTAAAAAAAATCAAAATTTAGGCCAAAAAAGAAAAAAGGAAGCAGAGTTTTTAAGTTTTCTGACAATGCTCACCTGCAAAACTATTAGAGAGAGAAATGGTGAATGAGATCCACAGAAGAAGGACTAATAAAAATTATATCGAAATTTGACTTCAAAGGGTGTCTAACAACCAACCCAGAAAATTCAATGAAGATAAATAATAAAAAAAAAATTATAAAAATTATTTAAAAAAATGGAACAGAGAAGTATGGAAGAAGAAGAATAAGAATATGAAGAGTTAGATTTGGTGGGGTTTTTGTCTAGTGAAATTAAATTATTAAATTATAAAGAAAATTAAATGTAGAAGAAAAATAATGTGAGGTTGAAAGAGGGACAAGAAAATCTTTTTAACAATAAAGTTGGGAAAATTAATGAATAATTATTTGAGTATGATTATAAAATAAAGGTAAGGTTGCATATAACTTGTCGTTTGTGGGTCAGGAAACATAAAAAAAATTAAATACTTCGTAGTAGTGAATTAAAAGTTAGATTATGTATGATTAAAACTGTTTGAGAGGGAAATAATTATTCTAGGTTTAGCAAGAATTTGAAGGTATCACACTCAAGAAGTGATTGAAGAAGAAAAAGAGGGGAAGAAAATAAAACAAAAGAGGCTGCAAGGGTGATAACTGACACCCATGCAATTGTACAGAATATGAGGTGAACTAGAGGTTGCTTAAAGTTTAAGCTCATGGCTTTATTGTACTCAAATTTTATCTTTGAGTCGATTGCATTAGCTTATGGACCTTTGTCACGTATCGAAATCTGTGTTTGTCGTGAGTTGACCTAGTGTATTTCAGGCTATGTTTTAGCGGCTGATATGCTCAATCTAATTTTACAGTTTTGAGTTACAAAGTAGTTTTTATTTTAAAAATATGAATGGGTTGAGACGTTGAGTGTATTTTAAGCTCATCACTTGACATTATTATACTCAAGATTTATCAAGAGTTGATTGTTATCAGTTCTGTAGTAAAACCCGTGCAGTCCAAAGCATTAAGATTTCGATTTGCTAAGAGTTTTTAAGACAAGTATAAGAAATATTAGGAAACCCTACATATAAAAGAAAGGTTATTTAGCTTAGTGTATATTTTAGACTATTATAGTCTCTAGTCCATGCTTGGTCCAATTTAACCAAGCTTAAGCTATTTTTTATAAATTATGATAAGGTCGATCAATAATCAAATAAAGTTGCACATACTATATGTAAGTGTTAGATAATGATTGATGTTCCAAATTATTATTATCATATCCTATATAGTGCAACCCCTAGAAACAATTCAAAATTATATGGATTTAATATGGTAATAATTAATAATTAGGGTTGTAGGCTCTACTACACATATAAATCACTTATGGGACATGGGTTATTGGGGTGATAGGTTTCTTTTGCCTAAAATAAAAGTAGATTGTTTAAATTTAAAATACAATATACTAACAATATATCATAATAGGAGTACCTAATTTGCTATTGTAAAAAAAAAAAAGGTAGGAGTACCTGATAAAGTGATAATACATAGGATTGGATAGACAACTTTTTGAATTGAAAGAAAATCAAGAATTCTATTAATCTAATTTTAGTAACTTGATATAATTTTGACAGTTTTGAGTTCTATGCTTCTAAAGCAGTGATTTCTTTCATTAGATACTTGGCAATGTGGTCCATGAGGCTCAACAAATTCTTGGCAGCGTGGTCCATGGGTTAATCTTGGCAGTTTCGAGTCATATAAGAAATATGTAACCAGATTTTGTTGTTAGAATTGACGAAGCCATAATTTCAATTCAAAAAAATTTGTAGCAAAGCTAGTTGTAATAGATCGACTAGTTACTCGTAGCTGTATTTGTAGCAGTAGTTATATAGAAGTACGAGGGTATTTGATAATTGGTGCATGCTCATTGGTTGATTATTTCACTTGACTTGTTTGATCAATAATTCATATTAATTGTGTAAATTGCTTGTTAAAAGCATGACCGGAATATGACTAATATCAACTATATATTGATATTTTTTGTACAAAATAAAGATACTTTATAATAATTAACTAATTATTTATGAAAGGTAATTTATATAGATCAAACAACATCCAACATGCTAAAGTTAGCACAACTAACTTTTCATTTTTGACTAAATTAAAATTCAACTTTTCAACTAAGAACAAAGCCACTTATGAAACATTAATAAAGGCTAGAACCGCTAGATGACATTAAAGTAACTAATGAAAATTTAATACATATAAAATCTAACCTAAACACTAAAATTAAAGTTAGTACATGTTTGAGTACTTTATACTAAAGTTTTATTGTTCTGATACATTTTAACATTATTATATCAATAAATCCTATAAATAATTTATTAGGAGTATCCCATATTAATTAGTGTTACTAGTACTAAGTACTAACGTAATCGGTAATTTTTCAGACAGTAGTTAAAGCATTGCTAGAATTTAAACCTAGGTTAAAAAACAATGGAGTAAATGAATACTGTCACAGGACACTTGCAGTTGTATAACGGTGAGGATTAAATTTTTTACTTATATTTTTGGTGCTTATAATAAATGCATGCAATTTAATTTGGCACCACTTGTAGTACTCTTTTTTCCCGTTGGTGATAATTTGTTAAATAAATGTAGGGTTGAAATTTAATTTTTGAGAGCTTGATAGATAAAGAAGTTGACATTTCAATTTAATTAAAAGTCATTAAATCAAAATATATTGTTGTTGTTTTTATATGTAACTTATACCATTTTTATGGACTGTTTTTTCGTACTTTGCTTCGTGAATACGTTAGAAATCAATAGTACGTACAAATGGGTGTGATGGCTAGTTTTGGACTCACACCTAATTGATTTTTTTTTTTTTTTTTTTGCCAATTGTAAAGTGAAGAATATCATTAATGAATTTTAACTTATAATTCAATAATGTTTCGCTACACTTATGCCAAAGTAGAGGTATATATTCATCGATCGATTTAACAACCGGATAGTATACTGATTATACGTAATAAATTTAAAATAATAATCATATTTTTGACATAGACATGAGTGTATTTATCTCAAAAAAGTACGTACATTATCACATTTACAAATTTTGGCTAGATCTACAAATTTTGTTGACTTATTGGTGTTCAAGTATATTTGTCCTAGCGTACTCTTAGGCAGATGCAAACGTACGTGGTGCATGCAATGTATTTATCTTTCATTTGTCCATTGTATTGAATAAAGCCAATGGAAAATATTCCTATACCAATATAAAATGGAAGTTTTAACAAATTAAACCCCACAAATAAGAGGACCAGATATATATTATCTGATGATAGTTTTCCAACTTTACTACCTTCTCCCTTAAAAAAAAAAAAAAAAAAAAAAAAAAAAAAAAAAAAAAAAAAACTCCGTATTTATTTTGCTATACTCAACTTTTATTTTAATACTTCTCACACCCAATGTATATGTCACACTGATATTATAATCTAAACTAGTGTTGTGAATTAGTCGCAATATACATTTTATTTTTTATTCTCTCCAACTTATTTAAATTAGTTTTAACAAAATAATATAGGAAAAATTGATTCTAATAATCCCACCTTTGGCCGGTTCGCTGTTAATAATCCCATCTTTCGATTATTATTTAATAATCCCACTTTTTTAAGGCATTTTCTATTGTTGGTCGTTTGTGACCGGTAACCTGTACATTGGGTATTTTTTTTAGTGACACATGTCACTACGTGATTAGTCAAAAAATTAAAAAAAAATCTAAAAAAAAAAAAAAAGGAAAAGGCCAGCCGTTAACCCCAACCCACGTCAACCCTCTGGCAGCCTTCCCCCGGAGCGCTAGTCAACCCAACATCTTCCCTAGCGCCGGCCGACCCATCCTCCTCCACCACTCAGGCCGATCCACCACCTCTCCCTATCCCCCGCCGCGACCACCCACATCTCGATCTCAAAATCCTAATTCTCGACAGCATTCCTCCCTCCCTTCCACCACCACCACCAAATGGATCGGATTGTTGTTTTGCATTCTTTGCTCTTTTCTTTTGATTGAATGCATAGCCTCCTTTGCATATTAATAGCAACAATAGAACGGAAAATCCGATCCATTTGGTGGTGGTGGAAGGGAGGGGGGAGGGCTACCGGGGTTAGGGGTTAGAGAAAGATGGGTGGTCGCGGCAGGGGTAAGAGGGGCTGGGTCGGTCGACACGGGGGGAAGAGGCTGGGTTGGCAGGTGCGAGGGAGTGGTCTGGGTCAGCTGGCGCTCCGGGAGAGGCTGCCGGAGGGTTGGGGTAGGTTAGTTATTTTCTTAATTTTTTTTTTTTTGGTTTAAGTTTTTTTATTTAAAAAAAAATATTTTTCACTAATCACAAAGTGACACGTAGACTTTGATAAGGATTGAAGCTAACAATTCTTACTACAAGAAAATAAAGATATGCACAAGAATACAAGATATGTACAAGTAATTGGATAATCTTCTCAAGCTAATAATTATCCTATGCTTATCGTTTATGTAATGCACCGTAACTCAAGGATTGTTAGCTTCAATCCTTATCAGACTTTAACCTATCAAAACCAGTTACCAACAGGTTAAGGACCAATAGAAGAGAATGTCCTATAAAGGTGGGATTATTATATAATAATCAAAAGGTGGGAATATTAATAGCGAACCAGTAAAAGGTGGATATATTAAAATCAATTTTTCCAATAATATCAAGTTAAGTTAAATTAACACAAATCCCTACTCAATTCAAAAAGAACCCAAAGCTCCAATGCAACCTACATTCTTAATTCTTAAATATTTAGTTATAGAGCTTAACATAAATTGAGGAATAGGAACAAGAAATCAAACACTGACTCAATTATGCGTATAGAAATTAAAAAAAAAAAATATTTATATTTAAGAGTCTACTCTCGATTATATATAGTTATTCTTTTACAATCTTAGTACTTCGTATGTAATAGTAAATTGTGTATCATCTCGAAAAATTAATTAATTAATTGGCAAGGAATGAAGACCGAAGACTAATTCACTGATGCAACATATTGTAGCTCATATCGACATGCGTATGAGCATATATATGATATATCCAAGTAGTTGTTTCACACAATACTGTTAGGTGGGCAATAATAATGGGCAATGTAGCAAGAAAATGACTCGATCTAAAATGTGAGAAATAAGGCCGGTGCAACTAGATTTCCTTGCAAAGAAACTTAATTTTCACATCTAAATATCTAATAATATAATAAGCCTAAACACTAAGAAATCCTTTAGTAATGGACCATCAAAATTATGTTGTTTGTACTCATTAATGGGCCTTATAAACGGTTACAAGTTGAATATTGGTTTTATTTATTTTAGTTAAACTAATCTAAACTCTCTCTCTCTCTCTCTCTTTTTTTTTTTTTTTTTTTTTTTTTTTTTTTTTTTTTTTTTTTTTTTTTTTTTGAGGAAAACTAATCTAAACTTTCATAAAACCATTGAATTTGTTTTGTTTGAAATTATTGTGTCTAAAGTACTTATTTCTTAAAATTTATAAGAACTTATATTATCCAATTTGAATCAACAATATGAACTTTTACATTTTGACATAAAGCAAAAATGAGTTTATCTGCATTGAGTA